GTCAGCTCGCCCCAGGCTCCCTGCCGCTCCTTCTCACACTCCTCCCTGCCCCAGCGTGGGGGGGCACCCGCGCTGCCAGCAAAGCTGCTCCATGGGCTCCTCCCCGGGCTGCGGGTGGGGATCTGCTCCGCCGCCGGCCTCGCCGGGCTGCAGGGGCACATCCTGCCTTGCCACGGGCTGCTCCAGGGGCTGCAGGGGAACCTCTGCTCCGGCGCCTGTCCACAGGGCGGTTTCTCCTCTGACAGGACAAGTTCTTCCCCTGGGAAGCAGGGGTGCAGCTGGTGTTTAGCAGCGTCCCTTTGGCCAAGTAGCGCGTGGCCAGAATGATGTGAAGGTGTAACCCAAGCGTAGAGACAGCAGATCTCGGCCGTCTCCACTCTCCGATTAATCAAAGACAAATTCTCCTCCATGAAGGAACAAAGGAAAGCCGGCTAAAGAAAGTAGCCTGAAGTTGTCCTTAGGTGACACGTGACCATGTGTGGATAAAAGGAGTTAGGGTACTTCATCCAGGAAGACCACCAAGGACGCCCAGACACCCCCAAAAGGAGGAAGACATGCGCAGAGGGGTCTGAAAAGGAGTCGAGAAGAATGATGCCTCATGGTTGCACAACTCACGTAGATCAGAATGAACATGTATTAGACCGGTAGAACATGCATTAATTTGATGTATAAATGTAACTAAGAGGCCGGCCTTGGGTGCGCTTGATCTGTGGAAAGTCCACCGAGCACCCAGGCCCGAATAAAAACAGATCTCTGCTGAGTGCATCAGGGTTGGCTTATTGCACAGCAGGTAAAAGAATCCCAGGTCTGGAATAGTTTTGCTGCAAACATTACACGTAGATAGAAATTTCGATGGAAAATAATATCTTTTCTGATTTTCTTCTCCTTAAGTGTCAATTATTTTCATGAACTTCATCTTCTTTCTCAAAATCTACATTTTGTACTTTGTAGAGAGAGTTGTGATTCTGAAAATTGACGGTAAAAAGATGTCCACAAGCTAAGAATGGGTGATCCTGTGCTTAGCACTGCTAAATTCTTAAAAAGTGATGCCATGGGGAGGGATACCGGCCTGCCTACTCTTCAGCATGTTTACAGTATTTTCACAGGCGAGGTCCTCAACTCATTTACTCACTTCAGCCCAGGAATTCCTAATCACACCTTTCCCTGTGTTGTCAATACCTATCTGTATTTTCACGCTTTCTGTACTTGCAAGGTGCTCTTTTGCCAACCTCTGCAGAAGATTTGTCCTAAAAGGCACAATCGGTTTACTTAATGACTCCCTCAACAGGATAATGGTTTCATAACTATACCTGCTGCTCTGAACCTGGACTCGATATTCGAGTTCCCTCCCAACAAAATGAATGTCTTTTCTGCAGGTGCCCCAGTGCAACAGGGTGTCCAAGGAGGTACTCAGCCTCCAGCCCACTGTCTAGAATCACTCAGATATCAAGAGAATATTGTCCTACCAATTCACCCTCCACTGATTATAGACCTCAACGACGACGAGGACGATGAAGAGGATGATGAAGAGGAAGAGAACTGTAAGCAGTTTTTTTCTTTTTTTTTACAAGGAAGTAGAATGGATTTCTTGCAATGTGCTTCACCACTGATTTCTTATAAGCACACTTCCATTTTTAGAAAAGAGTTGTTGACAAGGTTTTGAAACAGTTCCCAGCTGTTCTGCAAAACACTGGAACTGGTAGCCACCAGATGTGAGTGAGGCAACATCTTCTAACTCCTGTGAAACGCCTAGCTGTGTATTTCAGCAGCGGTATAATGCACATACCTTTTGTTTGTTACATAGAGTTTAAAATGTGAGCCACAGTTCAGATGGTTGTCAAAGACTCTTTGAAATTTCTCAACATTTGGGGACAAAATTACGAGTTTAGGAGGCACTTCTCAAATTTTTGAACAGGGCCTGGACACACTCATCGCTCAAGGGGAATTCTCAGGTTTGTTTCCAAAAGGTAGTTGTGTGACTTCAACTTAAACAATTTGTTCTAGTCATTTCCTAAACTCTGTAGGCAGCCTCGTTTTATTACAGAAAGTTCTTCTTAAATCTAGCAAAGGGAATCCATACAAAACTCTTACTAGCTTAACTGAATGTATGCGTTTATCTATTTATGTAGTTTATAGTTTCATTGTTTGTTTTTTTTAAAACGTAGTTAATCCATTCCCCGTGTCTTACTTTGGGATGATCAGTCCACGGGGAAGGAATGAATTGCACATTCCCAGAGAGTGAAGGTGAGAGAATGACCTACTCGCATGTGTGCACTCCGCCCATGATGGTGCAAGCTCTCAGGCAGCCCCAAGCTGCTTTTCACTTTCCCCCTGCCCTGCAGGCTGGCTGGCAGGGCTGCCTGTTAGTGCTCCCTACTTCGGCTTTAGTCGGAGTAAGCCACAGTTACTGAAACAGGGAGTGCAGTCAGGAAAAAAATTAATTGTGACCAAAAGAAAATTCATTGTGGTGTTTGATTATTGAGAATTGTTGAAGGTCTTTCTGTAGCTGTCTATTGATCTTTTAAATCTGTTTCCTACAGATGTTTCTAATTGGGTGCCTAGGCCTGCTGCAGATATTGAAGAGAAATATGCTGTAAATCTGGTAAGTATGATGTTAGTCTCTCTTTCCTAAAGAGCAGTGTTGTCAATATAGTAAACTTTGGGGTTTTTTTTTTTTCCTCTTGGGGTATGTTTAGGAGAGTATTACAGGATTCAGCACCCTTACAACCAGCAATCACCAAAAGCTGTGTCTTCACCTTGGGGAAATCAGCTAGCACCCTTGGAAGCTACCAGACAAGACCTGCAGAAAGAGAAGTACTTTTCATCTTCTTGGACAATGTTTACCACTTTTAAAATTACCGTTTCAGGGAGAAAGAATTACACAGTTTGCCCCTCCTTCCCACTTTTTAAATTCTGGTACAATAAAGGATAGCATATTACAAAGGGCATAAAAATTCTTCATTTATTTTTCCCCATATATATGTATATGTTGTCCCACAGGTGGTGACTACCTGTATCGATTGTAGATGGAAAAGGAAGAAATGGGCTATTAACCCGATGTATACTCTCCTGAGATACAACAAATAGTTTATATAATTTTTATAATTTTTCTTCGAGATCAAGACATTTGTAGTCTAATTTTAACTATCCTAAGGTTAGAAATCTCATTTAAATTTCTTATCCACAGCTTCTGCTAGAAATGGAGAGAGACAGGCACTCTTGTGAGGCTATTTATTGCATCATAAGATAGATTTAATCCCTCAGAAACAAACCCCACTGAGCTGGTTAAGAACCATCACAGCAAAGAAGCAGGGGAAAAGAAATGGATTTCTGAGGAGGCAAGAAATTCACCTGTTACAGGAACAGGCAAAGGTATTTTGAGAAAACGGTTGGCTGATTCATCTTCCTCTACTAAAGTGTTACACAGTTTAGCACTACCTAGTTAAGTGGTCAAATAGAAAATATCCATATTTGGACTGGGTTATTTGATTTATTCTTTGGAAAGAGTTATTACATCTGCAAATGGTCCACTTCTAACTTCTCATTTTACTCTAGATATTGATAGCCATAGAAGTGGTTTTTCAGTAGAGGTTTGGTTTTTTTTTTAGTGGGGTTTTTATTGTGATGGATTTCGGATTGTGTTGGCTTTAAAGTACCCCATAAATGGAAGTGGCAGTATAGAATTTCTGCCACATTCTGGCCAGAACTGAGAGGAACCAAATGTGCTTATTTGTAGAGATGTTTCTCCAAAACATTTCTTCAGTTGAGTTCTCTGAGGCTTTAGGTACCATGATGACATGTATCTTGAAAACACCATCTGATTTGATTAGACAGGATTCATAAATATTATTTATGAAAGTGAGAAGCTAAAGAATGAGCAGGTAATTCGTCGCTGGTGCTTTACTTTGGAGCTGTAGTCTTCCTGAGCCTGTGTATTAAGGTATTTTCTTAGAGAGCATGAGAGTTAGACATTGGTTAACACTAGGCAAGATCCAAATAACTAACAAAAGAGAAAGAAGAACATAAGATGAGAGGTTGAAGGAAATTGTACTAAACTACTCCCCCCCTCATAAAGGGGGTGGAAGAGAATGGCAATGCTAAAGACTCTTTCTCATGCTGCACCATTATTTATAACAATCAAACCCACTGTTTATCCCTAGTTAAGATGAATAGGCTTTGTATTTTTAAGTTCTCATACAGAGAAATATGAAAGGTGCAATCCTGCCTCTTGCATAACGGGAGCTTATCCCTCTGCACAAACTTGGTTGATCTTAATGGAGACAGAGTGGTTTGCCGCGTTGGGTTCAGTCCAGTATCATGTCATTACGGTTGACAAATGCCCTCTTCTGCTTGAATTTACTTCCTACTTGGTGGTATTTAATCCTTTTCCTTCATAAATATTTATTAGTGATAAAAATGATAATAATAATTGCTGTAGTTTTCTTTTTGCACTTTGTTTGTCAATGCAAATTAATGCGGTACCACGCTAGGGATGCTCGCTCTAGCTTTGAGCAAACCGGTACGTATCTTCTGCCTCCAGAACTGGATTGCACAGTACAAATGGATCTCACATGCTACTTCTTTTCCTACGACCTTTATGCAGAAAATGTGTCTTTCTTTTAGATGTTCTTTACCCTCAGTAATAAACAGTTCGGACTGAGAAACAAGTCTGCAATAAATCTCTGTTCATCCCTATCTGTATTTATAGCTTTTGAAATGGGCTGTTTCTCTAATCTTTTGTGGACCTCCACAAACCAGCTACTTGGTTTCCTTCTATTCTTTGCATTTTTTTAGTAATTTCAGTTAAAAACATAATATAATTAGAAAAAGAGTGGATTCTTTGTATTGCTCTCGTTTCTCAGGGTGCTCTTGAGTGCAGATAACTTTGTGAGACTCCTTTCCTGTAGGAGGTGACTGTTCTGTGGCACAGAGGAACACACTTGTTCAAGAGAAAACATGCGAGGCACTACCCTGGGAAAAAGAACCAACTGCATCAAAGTATTCCAATGGGAAAGGTACTTGATTATTGCACATTTCCTAATTTTTAGACGAGATTATTGTTGTTCCTCTGCAAGTGCGGTGGATGTTATGTACTTGGCATAAACCCAACCTGAAGTGAAATTTTCCATTAACAGTGTGATTTCCTTCACTGCAACACAGCAGCAGTTGTTGGATGTTATAGTCCAGTTCTACTGCTTTTAGCCAGGCTGCATCATCTGTTAGATTCACTGTGAGCAGAATCAGTTCCCGGGCACCCAAAATCTCTGACACCCACACGTTTGATCATGTGACGGCCTGTGCACTTTCCACTTCCATCAAGTAAAATAGATTTGAATGTAGGGGGTATCTCACCAAACATGAACCTAAATAGACCCGGTAAGAATTGGGTCAAGGAAAGAGCATGACAGTTGATCAAGTTCACTTAAAAACTAGTCCCATACAGCAAATTAAAATACCTACACCTAATTACCATGATGCATAGACTTCATCCATCCTTTTCACAAGAGAACTCTAGAATATATATGTCATGTCATGATTACTATGCAGTTTTGGAGTAAAAAAGAAAAAAAGGGCAGATTTTGGCTTTAAACTACTGCATTTCGGCCGCATTCTGGCCTGAACTGAGAGGAACCCAAAGTGCTTATTTACCTTAGCGGGAGAAAAGGCAGAGCAGGCAAAGCCACATCTTCCTGCAGAGCAGAGGGGCCAGGTGAAGAGCGCTGTGGCTGCTTTCTACTGCAAGTTGCCTTGTCAAGTTCTGTTTGTAGTGTGAAGTGTGCTTCCCTATGCAACCAATGCCATCAGAAATTTAGCCTCACCTTTTCCAGCATTTTATTCTGTTCACGCGCTGCCCATGTCCAGGATGTCCCTAGATGCTACAGACAGAAGAAGAAATTCATAGCACAGCCACAAGGTGTACTTCAGAGTGCATTGGTCTGCATGGGCTCAACCTTGGATGGCCCAGAGGTCCACACACCATCCACACGTGGTAGAGGAAGAATGTATCTGGTCTCTGTGTGTCTATAGTCAATTATTGAGATTGCTTTCAAGATTTCCTCTGCTAGAAGATATTTAGCCACTTTTGCTGTCCTTTTGGGAAGTGATACTTTTAGAGTAATTAACATGTAAACCCACGTTCCGTCCAAGAAGACCTGTGCATGAAGTGGGAGACTAGGCTCACGAAAAAGCTGTAGCATTTTTGAATCAGAAAATTTTGTGTGCTTTTTAAAAACATAACTATGTGTTCTTGTAATCCCTCAGAAACAAACCCGACTGAGCTGGCAAAGAACCATCACAGTAAAGAGGTCAAGGAAAAGAAACGGATTTCTGAGGAGCCAAGAAACTCACCTAATAGAGGAACAGGCAAAGGTATTTCAGGAAAACAGCTGGCTTATTCATTTTTCTGTACTAAACTGTTAGATGATTTAGCACCACTGAGGTAACTTCTGTACTTAGGGTCAAATATGAACAATCCGTATTTGGATTGGACTATCCACAAAGAACAGTTTTTTAACCTTGTCTTCCAGCCTCCAGTCTCCTGCAGTGCGTCAAACGTTGAGTAACAGCACAACATTATTGTCTGTGTTTTCACTTTTAGGAATTCACACTTCAGACCCCAGAGGAAAACCACCTTACCAACCGAGGGATCAAAGTGATGGTGATGATACTCGTTCTCTGAGAAAAACTGGAAGAAAGAGTTATTTGAATCCTTCAGAGCCTCGAAGATCTGCGTATGTCATCTATCACTCCGTCCCTGTCAACGAAGAGCCAAAGTTCAGTGGCTCTACAGGTGGGTTCCTACTTATGCAGGATTCTTAAAATGCCGCAGATATGCCTGTCTGTATTGTGTTGCTTTTGATTTTGTCCCTGTGGGTGAGTATTAAGTTATTTATGCCCAAATATAGGCAAGAATAAATTTGATCCAGCATTATATTCCTAAATAGATTGCAGCAATATCCATAAACAGAAAAGTAAACCTTTGTGAAGTACGCCATAAACAGAAGCAGAAGTACAGAATTTCGGCCACATTCTGACCTAGACTGAGAGGTCCACACACCACCCACGCAGTGTAGAGGAAGGATGTATCTGGTCTCTGTGTGTCTATAGTCAATTTTTGAGACTGCTTTCAAGATTTCTTCTGCTAGAGACAATATAGACACTCTTTTTGCTCTCCTTTTGGGGAATGATACTTTTAGAGTAATTAACATGTAAAACCACGTCCCACCCAAGAAGATCTGTGTATGAAGTGGGAGATCAGGTTTCCAACAGGATAGCAACGATTTTCAACACAAACAGAACATTCTTTCTGTTGCACTTCCAGGTGATGGTAATGCGATTCCTCCGAAATTTAAGAACACGAGAAGGAGAGATTTCCAGAAGGAGAGGACCAGCAGAGGGTATTCCCAGAACAAATCGTAAATCCTTTCAAAATGGAGGTAATACGCTTTACCATCAGCTTGTCCTTGCTCAACATCATGTGGTAAATCAAATAACTGAAGATGCATGCATTAAACTCCACCATTTTGAGTTATTCTTTACTCTTCGTGTTCTAGAGGCTCTCACGCTGCAGCATGAACTATAACAATCAAAGCCATTGTTAAAGATTCTGCTTGCTTTAGGATTACACTAAAAAAAAAAAAAATGCCCCGTGCACATCCAATTGATTCTGCACTCAGAGGAGAGCAGTGGGTGAGGCAGTTGCGTTCACAGCTGCGAATGGGTCAGTCTGAAAATGCAGATACATTCAGAGAAAAGGATAGAGATTTTTCCCCAATTCATTTCTCCAGTGGAGTTCTCTGAGGTTTTAGGTACCACAATGACGTGTGTCTTGAAAACACCATATAATTTGGTCAGACGGGATTCATAAATATCATTTGTTACAAGTGAGAAGCTAAACAACGAGCAGGTAATTTGTAGCGGGTTCTTTACTTTGGAGCCATAGTCTTCCTGAGCCTGTGTATTAAGGTGTTTTGTTAGAGAGCATGAGAGTTAGACATCAGTTAACACTAGGCAGGATGCAAATATCTAACAAAAGAGAAAGAAGAGTATAAAGCGAGAAGTTCAAGCAAATTGCACTAAACTGCTCCCCCGCTCATAGAGAGGAATAACAGAGTGTTCCCAGAAGAGATCGTAGACCCTTTGACGATGAAGGTAATAATATACTTTGGCATCTGCTACTCATTGCTGAACATCTTGTGGTGAATGATGTGCCGATGTGCACGAATATAATGATCCCCAATTTTTACAGCATCTTTTGTGTGATTTATTTTTTTGAAATATTGACTAAATCTCAGAATAGTCTGCCTTCAACTTCTCATTTTACTCTAACTGTTGATAGCAATAGTAGTGGAGGTAGTTTTGCCTGAGAATTTCATTTTCCTCTCAAGAAGCATTTGCTGTTCAACTCTTTTCCTCCCAGCAGGGGAGGAAGGAATGACCTTGCTCTACACCGTCTTTTTCCACATTGTGACATTTTGTGATTTATGGTATTATTTTTGCACGTTATTTAGGTTGGACAGAGGGCTGAATTCATTCTTCCTGCCATACATCCAGGGTGATATTTTCCTTCACCTTTTTTCCATCTCCAGCATAGCCTACTGTCCCCTTGATAGTACGTCCCTTGTCATAAATTTGACAAGAAACCTACGGATGGGATTCCAAGTCTCATATCTTTCTTTTTGGCAACCTGTTTCAGGTGTAAGCATGATTTTACATCTTTCCCTTTATTTTTACCTTGCTAATAGAGCTTCCCACAGTCCAGCACAGAATTTGGGGTGTATTTGCGTATTTGCCTTTCCACTTTCCATTTCCATGGTTTCTATGCGTAATTGTGGTTTTCCATCTGTCACTTCATCAAGAAATTTAGTGGTAAATAATTCAAAAAGTCCTAAATAAAGAAAGTGGTTTCGTCTTGCCCATTTCAGTCGCCTCTCTTAAGCTGAGTTGAACCTCCGTCTCGAGGTGCCTCACTGTCCTAATTTCCAGTGAAAGGAACTTCCTTCAGACAGGGTAAGCCCCACTTGCAGATGAATAAAGTTCAGTGGCATGAATCCCAACATCACTGCTTCGTCTCCGGGGACAAACAGTTGTGGGTTTCTTCTTCTACCTTTGAATGTTTGCTTTGATTAAATGTGGACAGATTGGTATAGAGATTACAGCGAGAACATTCTCAATGTGAAGAATACATCTTAGCAAATTCCCAGGTTCAAAAAGGATAGAGCATTTGAAAAAAAAAAGAGGATCGGCCTTTTTGTCGGAAGAGCAACCATTACCGCTTTCGCTACCTTTCTTTTCAGCAGTACCTGAGCCGTCTGGCGGGAAATGCTCCGAACAAAAGAATCAGCTTGACACAAACAGGAGATTTGGGACCCAAACGGAAAGCTATGGTAATAATTACCTGTTGTATATAAACTGAAAATATAAGGATTCTTGTGGAATTAAGAATACAAATTTACAGAATTAAGCTGGAATTAACAGAAATCCAAAGTATTAATAATATTAATTTTTAACTAAATTTTACAGAAAATGCTTAGTCATTAGGCAGCACACTCTGATGCAAAATCATCTGCCCAGCCCTACAACAGACTGCTGCCTTGCACCTAGTACTCTCACAAGTAGGGGTAGAAGAGGAGACTGGATTATGCATTAAATATTTAGTCATTAGGCAGCACACTCTGATGCAAAGTCATCTGCCCAGCCCAGCAACAGACTGCTGCTTGCACCTAGTGCTCTCACAAGTAAGGGTAAAAGAGGAGACTGGATTATGCATTCCTTTAATCTAAAAGCAGCTGATGCCTTTGGGAAGATTTTCAACACAGGAACAATCACTCAGCTCAAGTCAAGGATGTCCGTGGCAGAATCGCCTCATCTGGAACATCCTGTGAGCCTGACAGAAGCGCTGCAAGGTGGCAGATATCTTCTAAGTACTAGAGAGAGAGAGTGTGTATTTCATAAAGCACTCGAGAATGTCTGTATTTCATACGAGCTTGTGTTTCAGAGGTGGTGTACGATTCACCTGATGCGTTCGTTGACACTTCAGCTACTGTAACTTTTAATTCCCATATCACACTAAGACAGTCTTTCCTGAAACTGTAGCTGAAACGAAAAAACAATGTGTATGTTTTTTCTACAGACAAATATACTTCTGGTTTGTACAATGCAGCAACCTGGAAGAAAAGAAATCCACACGCGAAAACATTCTCCAGGTTCAAAACAACAATTCAGGTAACTGTTTGAGAGGCATTTTTACAATCTGATCTTTTTAGGAAAAGCATCCTTGTCTCTCCCCACCTCAGAAATGCAAAAGTGCTCTTAAAACCTCCCTGGCCCAAACCTGCCAGATCCTAAGCAATGCTGAGGAGTCTGAAAGAGCACTTCATAGTTTTGTTTCTTTGACCACGCGTAATTTTGCCTGTAGAACTAACCCGTGGTTTCTAATTTTTCCCACCAGTACTGATATGAGAGCGAAATATGTAGCTGCCTTTCAAGTCAGGAGCTCCAAGCAGTGGGGTTTGGCTTGTAGCACCAGACAAAGCACAGCAGAGAGCATGGGAGTGTGATCTCGTTGCCTCTCTCTTTGATTGCTCGTGGCGCATCTGCCATAGCTGAACGATGATCAGCCGAGGTCCAAATTCCTGAAAGGACTCAGGCTACAAAACATTCACAAGATACCCTAAGGACCATGACTACATTTTACACCTGTCCTGAAAGCCAAGATTACAACCTCTACCTTGTGTCTCTCGTTGAAAGCTTACTTCTTCAGGTATTTCTGAAAGAGCACATAGTTCTGCTCTAATAAATTGTGCACAGAATGTTCTGTATGTCTCTTTTGACAACAGAGTCAAGAAGACATGGAAGTGAATAGAAAAGGAGAATGCTACGTGGACAGGAGAAAGAGGTGAAGCGAGTGCTTCAGTCGACAAGAACAATCTAAATTGAAATAAGGAAATGATCAACTGGAGATCAATGTATGATTAAATTGCAAGTTAGAAAACAGGATGAAGGAAGTACACTATAACATTTCAAGACTGATAAAAAAATGGAAATTTAAAAAGTATGCTGTTTAATCTGTTTCTGAAAATCTGACCGTTGAAATGGTTTTTACGAGCTATGTTTTAAGGCATAATTACTAATAAATCATAAAAATACATGCATGTTTTCCAGATCCCTGTTAGCTTACTTCATCCCCTGTGGCCTGGCAGTCTCCGTCCTCAGGCCCCCAAAGAGGGGCCAAAGGAAATTGTGGATATTCAGCATTTCATGCAGTGAGGCCCTAAAGACTGCATGTCTGTGTTTGCACATACTCGCTGCACGATGTGAAGCAGCGTGAGAAGCAGAAAAGGCCCTGACTCTGCGTGGGCACTGCTCAGTAGTAGCTACAACACCCCTGTGTTACCAACACCGTTTTCAGCACAAATCCAAACCACAGCCCCAGACCAGCTGCTGCGAAGACAATTAACTCTCGCTGTTGTCCCAAAACCTGGGGTTCGTTTCCCTGGTGTGCAGTATGCCAACATACACACAGAGCAGAGCTGTTTTATTGCGTATTTGCGCAAATACGGGTCTCTGTCCCCAGACAACACACCTGGTTCACAAATCGAGAGTTGTTTATACACTTCACATGACCAACTTCACCTTCCTAATACACATGTGTTGCTATTCTGTTAAATGATTGGTCAAAGTCTCTTCGTCCAGCATGTAAATTAGTACGCACGCTCAGTTTCTTCACCTTTTGAGTCTGGGGGATAACTGAGGCAGGTGGTCTGTGAGTCGGTGGTCACAGTCTCTCCCTGCCGGGATTACCTTTCCCCTAGTTACCCGTTTCTTTCAGCAACCTCAGCGGCTTTTCACAGCTATTCTTACAACTCCTCACTCTCTGGTTCTACTTTGGACAGGTACATCCTTCTTAGGAAACAGTAACTCATCCTTCAAAATCCTGTTTATTAGTTTCTCTAAACCCAGTATAGTTAATTTTAAACTTTTAACCATAATAGAGGCAGAGCTTTATTAATTTCAATTATCATTTCACATTTTGATTCCCCTTTTTATTCCTTAGTATAACAAAGGTACAATCTCCACTTTCTGCTCACCCTCCTCTTCCAGACCGTATGACACCATGCTCAGCAACACAAATCTGGGGGGAGAGGGAGGAAGGGGGGTGCTGTGGAGTGATGGCATTTGTCTTCCCAAATAACACGTGGTGAAGCCCTGCTTTCCTGGAGATGGCTGAACATCTACCTGCCAAGGGAAAGTAGTGACTGATTGCCTTTTTTCGCTTTGCTTGCTTGCGCAGCTTTTGCTTTGCCTGTGAAACTGTCTCTACCTCAGCCCACAAGCTGTCTCACTTCTACTGTTCTGACCCTCTCCCCCCTCCCACTGAGGGGAACTGAAGGAGCGGCTGTGTGGGGCTGAGCTGCCTGCTGGGGTTACATCACATCAGTATGGAATCAAAATGGTGCAGTATAAGCTACACAGTTACTTTTCAGATTCCGTAGCCAAAGGTACTTGAACTTCACCTGGATAATTAGCTGAATTTTTGGACCAATGGCTCCCAAATACTTCCACCAAGACCATTCTTAAACCTCAATATTTTTCAAGCATCACTGTCCAGCTTCACACTGCAACTGAAGTGAAGGAAATGTAATTAAAACGTAAGCATTTCAGTACTTCAAATAGTTCTGTAGGGCAGCCACAAACTAGTTGCCGTGGCTTGACAGATCAAACTTGGGGATCACAGTTCTAGACCAATCTAGAGCATTTTTGCACAAGGCTTTAATCCTTCTTGTGAGCCCTGGAGTTCACTTTTTTAACTGCATCATTTAATCAGTGCAAAAATGTTCACTGATAAAATTTTAAATCTCCTTCCACCTGCAACTTCGGTAATGCTGTTTTTATGGTTGGAGTGATGTGCAAGCGTATTTGAGATCCAGAGCAAGAGCTATGGTGCTTCTTCGAGTTTCTCCAACACTTCATTTCTATTCAACACTATCATATGTAAACTGGTGCTTGTTAAAGTGTATAATTCTGCCTGTCCCATAGGAGGCTAGCAAAACTGCCTGTGTTCTCCAACCACACAATCTGTAGCTATGGAAGGGATGGATAGGATATGCTCCAAAATAAAGAAATGAAAACAAGCAAGCTGTACTTGCAGTAACACAACATTATACTATACAACTTTGCATCCTTTGCTTTTAGATTAAAGAAAAAAAAAATCAGAAGCCCCCATGAGCTTTAGTTTGGGTTTTTTTCATGAAAATTTAATTCCCAAATGCAAACGTGGCCAGATGTGTCACCCAAAGTTAGCAGGACGTTCTTAGCTGGACTCCTTTCCATTTCCTAGAGATGAGCGTTTGGTACACAACAGAAACGCTCACAGGGTGGAACAGAGGCTTAGCTGACACTTGTGCATACCAGGCTTGAAGGAAGGCACTAGAAAACTCAGGAGGGTGGCAAGGTCAAAGTATAGGTGCATTCTGGTTCGCTTTTGCTATTGATCTGTTTCCTTCTGTCCTAGAGAGGAGAAGAGGGGAGAGGAGAGGAGAGGAGAGGAGAGGAGAGGAGAGGAGAGGTCAGGTCACTGCCGTGGCAGGGGAAGAAAAAGATGAAAAGGGTATTTGTCACATATAATGATCATCTAGTCCAACTGCCTGAGCACTCCAGGGCTGACCTAAAGTTGAAGCATGTTAAGAGCATTGTCCAAATGCCTCTGAAACACTGACAGGCATGGGGCATTGACCACCTCTCTAGGAAGGCTGTTCCAGTGTTTGACTGTCCAGGAAATGCTGGACACAGCCCCAGGAAAAGGGGCAGAAAGCAGCACGGGTGGGGATAGCAACGCCACCAGCACTGTCAGTGACACTGAGACTTTTTCCTCAGTTTTCAGGCCTTGCTTTTCTTTTACTGTCTCTCATTCAACTCAGAGGGCCAGGAGCCCTTGAGGGCCGGCACGCGCCCCAGCTGCCGGCCCAGCCCTGGTTTTGGCAGCGCCTGGGCCGTTCTTCTACTGCTGCCGGCGGGGGGGCCGC